CTTATCTTATATAAGCTAAGCATCAATATTTATAATAATGTTAAATTATGTTTTATTAACATAGAAATAAAGAAACATTTCTATTTAATGTATTAGTTTAATACTATGTGTTTTTAATTCTGACTTAAGTTAAATAAAATGTTTAGATAAATAATTAGTTTATATGCTATCAAATGCAATACCTTGATAAACCTATCTCAATATCTATTATGATAATTATTGAATATTTAAATAGCATATAAATATACGTTATAAATAATATGTGATTCAGTAGATCAATTATTTTGAATAAAATAAGTACCTAATATTATTATACATTTTATTGATTAGGTACTAATAATAAAATATCACAGTATTATACACTTCGTAGGTACCTTGAAGACTTGTCGAATGTTTACCATCCGGAAACGAAATCGTGGATGAAGACTCTCCAAGGAATAGCCTTACTAATCCAATGCTTCGGTGGTGAAGTGCCGTCGTTCATTTTGTCCAGTAAATTGTTACTTGAAAACCACCTTACAACTTTACTTAAACTGAATGTTTTTTATATTATATGATTATAGGCTACATACTGAAACGTGTGGACCACATGACCATTTTCTCCATAGTGTTTTTCACGTTCACGTGTATTTTCTCTGTGTACACGATCATTGAGAACCCTCTTTGGGCATTACCAGTTGAATTAATGAACGGCATAACGTTTGCACTGTCTTATTCGGCAGCCATCTCGTATGCGGCTCTTATAGCTCCTACAGGCGCCGAGGGAACGCTCCAAGGAGTCGTCGGGACGGCTTACACGGGAATAGGTTTGATATTTCATGTTTACATAAAATAATATTAAGATGACGCTGCACCCACATGTATTATAACCTCATATAAAGACTTATAAACTGTTTTTTTGCGGATAAGAACCCCCCTGGTCCATGCTAAGCAACCAAATTTTCACCCTGTGAAGATGAGAACACATTTACTGTTCATCGATATTTTTATTTTTTCGATATTAAAACTAAAAACAAATTCTTCAAGTTAGAAAAACTCTAAAATAATGAATGTTTAAACAATTGAATTAAGTTTTTTAAATTTGTGATATCGAAAGGTTAAAACAACTTTRCACAGTAATAAAGTTTTCTTCTTTGATGTATAAAAATATGATTGCTTATCTTGGACTACAGTCTGAATGGTTTTTACTCTCTAAAAATATAGTTTTTGTCATGTTTAACATATTATGTACTATGTAGTAGGACGGAGACAATACAATAATAAGCAAGTGTAGCGTCTTCTAAGGGCTTGTAATTGGATAGTTTTTATGGGTTCAAACAAGACAGTTAAAAAATTCAATGCATGAGTGCAGTAATTACAAATATAATTGGTATAATTTATAAGTACTAGTATGTATGACTTCTAAAAACTGATTCGAATTCGTTGGTATGTCTGTTTGAGACCGATTAGGCCACATTTTAAAATGTTTGATAAGAATTTAAAAATAATTAACATTTACAAAAGTTTAGGACTAACATTWAAAAAAAGTMATCGATCTCAAGTAGACATTAAAATTCAAATCACATATTAATAATATAATCCCTATACCAAGTCTAATGATGTAATTAGTGATATATAATTTCTGAATAATACAATTTTTCTTTAGAAATTATCTACTTACATCACTAGATATGATTGATAAACGATAGATACATTTTGATTGAAATAACTGGCCTTTTTTAATCATCTTAAGTGCATCATTACAAGTGTGTAACAGAAAGTCCTGAAAAATGAAAAATACAAAATKAATACTAGTTGAMTATATAAAAAAATTTTGAAAATTGTATGGATAATATAGTACATAGTTTAAGATTTAGCCTATATGTCCGAAAATTCAAAACATGATATTTGGAAAAATGTTATTACGTTTTRAATTTAAATTAAATAATTTACTTGAACAAAATATTGGTTTAATAAATTTATTAAACTTTTTGATTTAAATAAAAGATTTACTATCGATTTTTTTTAAATTAGATTTTAAAATTGGATATTTTGAAYTTTTCRTTTTTAGTATTAAAAAAAAATAATAAAAATAAACTATACTATACATAGGTACTGTACCTACTTGTAGCGTAAGTATCTATAAGTTATAATTTATTAACATTTTTGAACATTGATTACAACGAAAGTATTGTCTTTTGTCAAGTCATTCTGTTACACTTTGTATACCTTTTTAAATGTATAAATAAACTTGAAAATATTTTAACTTTACTACATTGACGATGTTGATTGGTTGTATCTTAGGTGCGCCCATTGGAAGCTTCGTTGGTGGTTATATGTTTAAACATATTGGAAGTATTGCTTCATTTAAGCTATTGAGCGTGGTTGCATTTTTCACTTGTGTCATACAAATTATTGTCAATTATATATTAAAGCGTTTGTCTAAAAATGAAGATGTCAAGGACATATATAGTAAAGTTAAAACCAAAGATGATAATATCGAAGAAGACATAACTTTAACATCATAGTATTATATTTCCATATACAATAAATTWTACTGTTTATTACTTATAAAAAAATGGCTGAATTTTTGTATAATTTGTTATTTATTCGATACTTTGTATGTAGATTTTTTTAAACTAAAATATCCACTAAAAAGTTCCAGACACAAATTATTATTAGGTACTGGTGATACAGGTGAATATATGGCAATAATCAAAACATGATTTATAGTTATAATCAACGAATTTGTATAGATTTAGATTTTKAAATATAAATTCATTTTTTAATGTTTTTCTGTTAATGGTAATTCTTTTTAAAAAATATTGATAGAATGACCAGAAAAAAATATTTTTAACCTAAATAATTTATATGCYTTGGTGTTTGTCTTAGTCCTACTCTCACAGAACCGACRCTGGAAGAATATTTTTAATAAATAACTGTAATACAATATAAAAAACTATCAACATTTTGAATTACACTTTATGGTATATTAGTAAATGAAAAATTTAAACCACAAATATTATGTATACTTGTGATATTTTTAAAACTAAAATGAAAATATATGTCTGTTTGATAATTTAAAATAAAAATTAAATTTCTATTTAAAACTTCAAATTAATAGCAAGTAAGTCAACAAAATATTATCTTATATAAATTCANATTTTAGATTCTGAATAGAGCGATAATGTATTTTCAAATATATTTACATCATAGGTAACTTATACCCCTTTTAGGTGTACCTATATTAATATTAAAATAAATGCAGACAATAATGGTATTGTTTTAATAATAMCTGTCAACAAAATGGTAAAATAAATTGTACCTATACGTCAACACATTTTGAGTCAAAACGATTATTGTAATGGAAACGTCAAAATACAATTATTGSAAACGTAACTGTAAAATATGAATGAATAATTACAATATTATATTTATTTACACGAAATTTATGCTATCCATTTCAAACAGTCATATCCCATAAAGATTAAATTGTTTGATCAATTTTCAAACAATCAAAAAATTTCATTTTTGATCAATTTTTTTTGCTATATACCTACCTACTTAATATTTAATAATATTATGGATGTGGTCYTAATTTGTGAAACATAGTTTTTATTTTAATACATTATGGTGTAGGGTAAACATTATGATGTTTAAGAGTCTTGCAAACAAAGATTAGCAAATTTTGTCTATGTCAAACGCAACAAAAGTTATTTTAATCAATTTTGTTACATACCTTTAATATCTACTAAATACTTAATAGTATTTAATAGATGCTAGCATGTGCCAATATATAATGTTTCATTTGTAACACGTAAATTTACAGGTATGAAATAACTACCTATACGATATTTTATTGGATCTCGTTCATAAGGTAGTAAAGTCTAAAACTTTAATAAGTTATACGTTTACAAATGGATACAATTATWGGGCWAAAATTATATCAGGTATATCTAATAAATATATGGTAGCATATATTTAAAATATTAAAATATAATTTTTTTWGAAAAAAATGTTATTTTACGACAGCGTTGTGTAAAAGAAATATTTTAAAAATTATCAATATGGGGTGGGCATGATTGGTGACATTCTAAATCATCMTGTATAGTGTATATAAATATTATATTGTTAACAAATTAACGTCATAATATTCGAASGCATAATTTTTCAGTTATAATAGTTAATGTTTAAGTAGAGCCTATACCAACGTACCATAATGATATTACCTACCATTGTAAACAATTAGTGCTGTGGATAAACAAAATTAACAATAATTAATAAATAACATATCGCATTTATTCTAATAAATCTAAAAAAAATAAGTTTTTCAGTCATTATAATTTCATTATTTCAATAAAATGATCAAACAGAAGTGTTTAAAGTT